ATGGTACTGAAACACAGCACGTTCTACGTAGCGGTCGAACTTGCCCGGTGTGTCAAGGATAGCAGCACGATCCTCCATCTGGTGCCACTGCCTTTCACGAAGAATCCAAGTCGACCGAAGGTAACGACCAGGCGGCAACGCAGAAGGCGGCCCCCGCAACATGCGCGGGAACTTGACAACCAGGATGGGGTCCACACTGTCGTGTTCTTGCAAGCCTTCCTTACTCGACAATCCAGCGCGATACAACACCTGAGGGAGGATCGGCGTCTGCGTGTAAGGAAAACAAGGCACCTCGCTCTTGAACGAGTAGTGCTGCTGACCCTTCTCATCCGTGCTTTGGGTATGAGTAGGCCGCATCAGATCCATAATCTCGTGGGAGCCGATGAGATCCGGCGGAAAGATGTTGATGAGCTGACACGCATGTGTCCAGGACACGGAATCCTTGAACGATTTGGTGTGTATGTCCGCGGACATCTTGGCAGTGACCTCGTAGGCAAGAGAAACGTAACCTTCCTGAAAGATAGAATGCATCCATCCAATGCAGATACCGTGGGTACGCTCCAAGTGACGCATAGTCGGATTCTTGCCCGTGCGAATCACCCCGATCATGGTCTGGTTGTCGTCGTAGAAGAAGAAGTTGGGGTCTTGCCCCCCAAGCTGCTGCCACAACGTGATAGCAGGCAATCCAAGACGTGACATGGCAAAGTCGGCCGCGACAATCTCGGCCTCAGGTGTGGAATGACTCAAGCATCCCTGCCTTTTGCTAAGTCCCGCCAAGGGAAATCTTGTGTGAGAACCTTGAATGTGCAAATGAGCACCGGAGGTAGATTTCAAACTTTCTCCACAACCGGCATAGTCCGCATCTGCAAACAGCCCGATGGACGAGTCCTCCAAGGAGTTCCCAACCCATCCAATCATCATGTGATGTTTGGACTGGTGCACATAGGCCATGAGATGATGAAGAAGAGCATCCTCCTTCTTTGTCCATTTCGTGATCTTGCGTGCGAGATTGTTGATACTGCGCAGAAGATCAAAGCGGCAAATGCGCGCGGCATAAAGCAATTTCATGAGAATGCTGGCTGCCTGCGGAGCAAGTGCACCGCGATTAGCCTCGTTGATTTCCTCTTCCTCGGGCGCCTTGGGAATAGGTGGCGGCGGAACGAGCCGACCATCCTTATCAACAGGCATGGTGTGTCCACACCACGTGCATCGATGGCTTTTACCTGACTGTGCCGGAGCGCGAGCTGGGTGATTCTTAGTCTCCTAAGCCGGACTCGGCGATGGTACCGTCTTGAATTTTGTCGGATCGAACCCAGTCACGTCGCAGTACTTCTTGACTGTCATGTCCAGGTACGTCTCCATGTCGTAGGTAACGGTCTGCACCTTCGTTTTGTCATGCAACGTTGCCTCGGCCTTGGAGATGCGACAACCCAGATACAAGCCCAGCGGCGTTTCTTCTTCCAATCGAAGTTCTTGGCGCAGCATGTCCCAACCCTTGGGTAGATTCTCTTTGGGTCCTGCCATCTTGAGATCATCCACGTAGATGACAAGTAAGAGCTTCATTTGCGGGTGGAAATACAATGATGGCCATTCATAACCAATCGGCTTGAACCCTACTTTCTGTACCGCGGTGTGGCAATGTTGTTCCCACATGGTTCCTGCGTCAGGATGTCCATATAGAGCTTTGATCAGGCGACATACCGGCCTACGGAATTTGTGCCGTTTCGCAGATGGATGCCAGGCTTCATCAGGCAGTTAAACCCAACATGGAGTGCCCGATAGTCTCGCCTGAATGTATGCTTGGATAGCATCCGCCATCTGGACATCGTTGCCAGGAAGACATCCGTAATAATCGGCCCATCGTGAGGCGTCAAACGTAGCCGGGGAATTCCCCAAATCCTGAAACAATGCGGCTTCCATATTCTGGTCTTTGACCTGATCACCGAGTAGTACACCTCGCCCTTTGAACTTCCTGGCAGGATCGTCCTCTTTGAGCTGATAGTTTTTCTCGTATATCAGTCCATGTACTCGCGCCATATGTACTTTCTCACCTTTCTTCTTTGCCTCAGCGACGACGTCGTCATATTCACGCGTAGTTGAGAAGTCAAACACCTCTTGGTCCCACAATACCTTCCATTCTTTCATGAAAGCTTCCATGGCCTTGGGATTGTTGATCATCTCCTTGCGTGTGACGGGTCGAGTGACCATGGCATTGAAGCACGATCCTCCTGCATGATTCTTTTCCCGATGTACGTTTCTGTGAGAAGTCGTACATGGCATAGAAGGAATCCAGCTATCATCCATGACCATATGCGCCGGAACGGCCGGCACGACATCTGCCAAGAATTGTTCCTGTGTATATTGATCCACATAGGACTGTGCCCATGACCAACCATCGTCGTCATCAACGGACACGTTGAGTTGCAGATCAATTTCTTCACACGGGACAATCTTGGGAAAGATCATGTTGTCAAAAATCTTGGTGACTATCTTCTTTCCTATCACAGCCTTCTTCCGGTCCTTCTTGGCAACTCGAGCTTTGTCTCGCTTTTCTTTCTTGTATGCTGCCTTCTTCTCCGCTTCGCTCATTTTCTTCCATGCTTCCGGAGAATAGGAATGGATAGGTCGCCGTGTAGGAAGAGTTCGTCGACCATCACTTCGGATCTTGTACGGAACTCCCCTTTTGTCGATCTTACAGGCTTCACCGTCATCGGTGAGATATACAATGCCGTCTCCTTTCTTCCCCGTACTCCAATGTTCAATCTCCTCGGGAGCCAACTTCTTTCCTTTCAAGATCTTGATAATCTCTCCAGGCTCTTCGATGTCTCCTTCGGGGATGAGTCTACCGGTTGGACCGACTTCGCGGGGCGATCGTCGATCTTTCCCAGTGACCTTTGGTTCAGAAGGAGGCGGTGCTGCACGTAGAACCAGCTCTTCGTCTAGTTCTTCGAGTCTTTTGTCTCCTATGGCATCAATAGCTTCATGTTCTGCTGACTTGAAGACTTCGCCGAGCGGCTCCGTCTCTATGTCAGACGGATCTATGTCCTGTAAGTCAGGATCTTCTCCGGGATCCGGTGGAGGAAGAAGTCCATTTGGATCATCGTCATCCCCGTCGCCACCATTTCCTCCGGGCGGACCGTCATCACCGTCATCGACGTCTTTTATCTCCTTGCCAGCGAGGTCAACGTTGTCACTGAGT